TTTTAATTTCTAAAAATTTAATAACAGAAATTTAAATATATATGTATATTTTACTATTATATATTCAAATCGTGATTTAAATGTTGTTTTTATTGCCCCTGCACAACGCGTTCTGCCTCACTCGTAATTGACTCCATTTTACCCCCCCCCGGGCTATGTTGTCTTCCGCTGCTCTTCTTGATGAGTTCAAGAAAGACCTTGCCAACCTCAAGGATAATGATAAATACAAAATAAATGCTCTTACTTATTTTGCGCGTGATTACCTGGATCAAAGTGGAATACCTGAAGGCGTAGTCGCGGCCACCACTTCCAACGTGCGCTCAGTAAGTTCTCACGTTTTGAGACGGTCCATATTTCCCCCCGTGTATACCCTTACAATTTTAATAAAACGTCTCATTCGATTTTCGCCTTTTATTTTCTTGGTTGGGCGGAAGGATTTTTTCGCGGGTTAGTGGCTAGTGCGTTTCATTATTAGCTGTTACGGTTTCGAAGTTAAGGGTTTTGAAAGCCTAGTTCGAGAATTTTTTTACCAATTATTTTCAGGTTTCCTCGGGATTGAAGCTTATCGCCCTCTATGTAATCGATTCGATAGTTAAGAACGTAGGGGGCGTCTACAGGATGTTGTTCTCCGACGGGATCGTGGACCTTTTTGTGCATTCATTTGAATCGGTGAGTTATTATATACAACTTGACACAGTCTAACCCATTTAGATCAGAGATGAAAAGGGGCGTATCAAACTTTACAATCTACGGGCCACATGGCGAGATGTTTTTCCGAACAGTCGAATGTATGAGCTTGATGTTCGAGTTCGTGAGCATGATCCTGCCTGGCCACTTTTGGCAAAGCCAGATGATGTTAGATCATCAATCAGATCTTTGCCAAATGTTCCAAAGATATCAAAGGCTAAAGCCGAAGATTCGTCTACTGATCAGCCAGGCGAGTCTCAAGAACATAGGAATTCTGACAAATCGGATACTCACACTAATTCACGCGATCCTCGACTAAACAGAAATATCAAACACTCTCCAATTACCGAGGAAAAATGTAGTCCCCTGGATGAATTTATGATTGATCGGTCTGGTGACAAGACGATGGAATCAAAAGCAAGAAAACAAGGGAAGAAATCAATGCAGCCAAGGGAGGATGCTTCTCAACCGCTTTTTGGTGTTCGAGATAAAGATATGAGGCCACAGGATTCTCCATCCCTGCCAGCGATTTCCCCTGCCCGTAGTGGTATATGGTCCAGTTACTTTGGTAAGCATAGTGAGGTGATCTCCAGACGAGCCAGTCAGGACATTGATATGCGCTTTTCTTGCTCAAATCAGAAACCTCAATCGTCTCCAACTGAAGAATCCAACCTTAGTCCTACTCTTCCTCATAGCCCCAGAGACCCTAGGATTCCGCTCAAGTCTGCTATAGCTCCGGTACCTCAAAATGCTCATGCACCGCGGACCTCTTATTGTGATTCCCTACCCCTTGCAAGTCACTATAGACAGTCTGCTCCGGTTCCACGCCAAAGCAGATCTCCCATATCACAGGAACCCGAATTCCATCGATCTCACCTGCCGGTCTATCCATCCCTACCACCGCTACCTCCTTTTCCCCGCGACCATCATCCACGACGTTCTCCATCCTCCTTGCCCCGCGTTCCTCCAATCAGTGGTCCTACTTGGAATGTTGAAATCGAAGGTTTTCCTGATATGATAAACATTGGAGTAGATCCTAGAATGCTTTCCCTTGTTACTCATCCGAGACCGCCTAGGCGAATTACTATTGATGGATATCAAT